CTTCTTCTTCTTCTTCTTCTTCTTCTTCTTCTTCTTCTTCTTCTTCTCCTCCTCCTTCTACTCCTTCTCCACCTTCTTCAAAAAATCCCTCCAAGTTCCCATTGATATAAAAATTTTTCTCTGGTTCCTCCAGGAGCTTCCAGAAATCTACCTATAGAAATATTAATTTAATGAAATGGACTGAGGTTGGTAAATCAGGGATCTAGAGCTGGCAGGGACCTCAGAGATTATCTGGTCCAATGCCCCAGAGCTTAGCACAGTGGCTGACATATAGTATTTAATAAATATTTATTGCTTGATTTTGTAGATGTGGACATTTAGTGATCTGGCTAAGATCACACAGGTAGTCAACATGGAAAAGGGGATTTGAATCCAGGTCCTTGAACTTCAGGAGGCAGTCAGCTAGGTGGTTCAGTGGATAGAGTGCTAGGCCTGGAGTTAGAAAGACCCGAATTCAAATTCTGCCTCAGACATTTAGTAGCTGTGTGACCCTGGGCAAGTCATTTAACCTCTGTTTGCTTTAATCTACTGGAGAAGGAAATAGTAAATTACACCAGTGTTTTGACAAGAAAACCCCACGGACAGTATGGCTTATGAGGTCATGAAGAGTCAGACGCAACTGAACCTTGGACTTCAAAGGAGGTGCTCTTTTCACTGCTTCCCACTGCCTTTGTCTTCTGCCATTTATTTATCATAAAAATCTAGAAAAAAGTATTGAGCTTTCTGACCTTGGTTTTCACATGTGTAAAAGAGGGAAGAATATTCCTAGCATATAGCTGGATCTTAGTTCTTTGGCTTTTGAATCTTATTTCCTTAGAGCAATGGCACAAATGACATGATAATATCTATCTTTCTGTACAGTTCCTTATCCTTTGTTGAGGATTTACACATATAGCCAGGTGTGTACAAGAAAATGTTTAACAAAAGGGTTGTTTGGCTACTAAATGACCATAGTAATCTAGTGTTTCATGAACCCAAAGATCCCACCTTTGGGGGCAAGAACTCACTATTTGACAAAAATTGCTTGGAAAACTGGAAAGCAGTTTAGCAGAAACTAGGCATAGACCAACATCTTATACCCTATAGTCAAAATGAGTACATGATTTAGACATATAGGTTGATTTCATAAGCACATAAGGGGAACATAGAAAATTTTATCTGTCATAGTTATGCATAAGGGAAGAGTTTATGACCAAACAAGAGACAGAGAGGATTATGGGAAATATAATGGATAATTTTGATTACATGAAATTAAGAAGTTTTAAACAAAACCAACATAGCCAAAATTAGAAGGAAAACATGAAACTGGGAAAGAATTTTTTTGGGGGGGGCTATGCAATGGGGTTAAGTGACTTGCCCAGGGTCACACAGCTAGTAACAGCTATTAAGTGTTATGTGTCTGAGGCTTGATTTGAGCTCAGGTCCTCCTGAATCCAGGGGTGGTGCTCTATTCACTGTACCACCTAGCTACCCCTGACCATACTGGGAAAGAATTTTTACAGAAAGTTTCTCTGATAAAGGCCTAATTTCTCAAATATTTAGGAAACTGAGTTGAATTATAATAATAAGAGCCAGTCCCCAATTGATAAATGGTCAAAAGATATGAGTGGGCAGTTTTCAGAAGAAGAAATCAAAGCTATCTAAAGTCACCATGAAAAAATGTTTTAAATCACTCTTGATTAGAGAAATGCAAATTAAAACAACTCTGAGCTATCACCTCACATCAATCAGAATGGCTAGCATGACAAAAAAGGAAAATGATAAATGCTGATGAAGATGTGGAAAAGCAGGGACACTAATGCACTCTTGGTGGAGCTGTGAATTGGTCCAACCATTCTCAAGAACACTTTGGAATCATGCCCAAAGGGCTATAAAACTGTATACGTTGACCTAGTGATACTAAGTCAATATCCCAAAGAGATCAAAGAAAAAGGCAGAGGACCCATATGCACAAAAATATTTTGTGGTGGCCAAGAATTGAGAATTGAGAGGCTGCCCATCATTTGGGGAATGGTTAAACAAGTTGTGGTATATGATTGTGATGGAATACTATTATGCCATGGGGCAGCTAGTGGCTCAGTGGATAGAGTGCTAGTTCTGAAGTTAGGAAGACTCAACTTCAAGAGTTCAAATCACATATTAGCTGTGTGACCTTGGGCAAGTTACTTGATCCTGTTTGCCTCAGTTTCCTCAGTTGTAAAATGAGCTGGAGAAGGAAATAGCACACCACTCCAGTTATCTTGGCCAAGAAAACTTCAAATGGGGCCACAGAGAGTTGGATGTGACTAAAACAACAACAAAACAACTATTGTGCTATAAGAAATGATGAGTAAGATGGTTTCAGAAAAACCTGAGAAGACCTCTGTGAACTGATGCAGAGTGAGCAGAAGCAGGAGATCATTATAAACACTATCAGTAATATTGTAACGATGATCATCTGTGAAAGATTCAACTACTCTGATCAATTCAAAGACAATTCCAAAGGACTCATGATGAAAAATGCTCTCCACCTCCAGAGAGAGAACTAATAAACTTTGAGTGCAAATTGGAGTATAATTTTTTTCACTTTTCTTTTCTTTTTTTTAACATGGCTGATATGGAAATGTTTTGCATGATTTCACATGTATAAATTGATATTATATTGCTTGCCTTCTCAATGAGTGGGGGAGCTGAGGGAGACAGAGAATTGGGACTCAAATTTTTTTAAATGTTAAAAAACAAATACTAATAATTTAAAAAACAACTGGCTCTCTGGAAAAAAAAACATATGCAGGACACACTTTAACATTCAATCTGCATTATTAACATTTTCTCCATCACTTTCTTAAATCTAGGCAATCATCAAAACAACAAGTCAAGCCCTGATTTATAGCATTTTCTTATTTCCAAAGTGTAAATGTTCATACTGAAAATTTAAGAAATGGCTTTCCTGAGCCAATGTGAGCCTTCTCCAGCACAACTCTGCATGCCATTCTCTGCAGGAGGCCTCTGCTGGTCTCCGCTCCCCCCCAGGTAGTGCCTTCTCTGTGAAGTTATTTTCCATTTACATGATATTTATCTTGGACACATGTAGTTCTTTGCATGTTGTCTTGACAATAATAGATTGTTAGCTCATTAGAAGCAGGGACCACATTTTTTCCTTTTTTTGGATTTCCAGGGTTTAGCCCATAGTCCGGGCTTGATAAATGTTTGTAGGCTGATTCACTGACATCAGTTCATCTTAATCCTCACAACTTTTAAGATTTTCCCTTTCTTAAGGAGCTTGATACCTGGTAGGCAGTCTTCTACATTGCTACTGCTGCCCTTATGTTAGGGAACTTTAATATCTTAATTCTCCCTCAAATTCCTTGACCTCCTACTTTACAAACCCCTCAAGCCCCATGTCTTGTGTCTTTCATCCACTTCAGTCATGCTTGGGGAGGGTCACACTTGATCTCACTATAATCCACAAATATTCCACTTTCATGATGAAGAAAAGGGGGAAATGTGATACAGTTGGGGGGGGAAGTACAGGTAATATTCAAATCCTGCAACTAGGTACTACTTGGATAGAGCGTTGAACTTGGAGTCAAAAAGACCTGAGTTAAAATCCCACTTCAGCAATGTACTAGTTGTGTGATCCGGAGCAAGTCATTTAACCTCTCTGTACCTCAGTTTCCTTGTGTGTAAAAGGGGGATAATAATAGCCCCTACCTCATAGAGTTATATCAATCCAATGAGCAATACTTGCAAAGCAGTATACAAACCTTAATGTTACATATATATGTATATATATATATATATAATTCTCTCTCTACATGTATATATAATATTCTCTCTATATATATTTATAATTCTCTCTGGTACTACCTTGTGACAAGAGCAAGTCACTTAGCCCTCCTGGGTCTCAGTTTCCCTAACTGTAAGATGAGAGAGTTTGACTAGATAGCTTCTGAAGGCCCTTCCAGATCAGATCTTTGATCATGTAAATACCAAAATTTCTCTGACCATAACCACCTCTCATTCCTTGCCTCCCATATCTCTGTCTCCCTCTTCTTAGACATTTTTCATCTTTACCTTGACCTCTAGTCTCTTGATACTTTCTCAGGCTATCTTCCCTGTCTGGGCTTCATGTTTTATATCATCTCAGTTTTGACCCTAGTACCCTGAGATTGAGGGGAGAATGGTGCCATGGGACACTTGAGGAAAGACGAGATGGTTTGGAAAAGCCCCTGTGGAAAGTGGGAGAGCAAATTGATTAGGGAGGAGTAGCATGATTTCAAAATGACTATGAATATGATTCTCAGAGTTAAATATTTAGTCTAGTATCTCTGGAGCTCCAGTCATCCATCACTAGGGGAACATCATGTAGTAGACATTTGTCACTTTATGTTCCTTAGGCATTACAATTTCAACATATCCAGAAGAGAATTTAGTATTTCTCCATCCCCATCCCCTTCCACCTCCCCCACATCCACCTTTCTTCCTAATTTTCCTATTTCTGTTGAAGACATCTTTCCAGGCACCCAGGTCTGAAGCCAGGGAGTCGTCATCAACGCTACACTCTCCCTCATCCCCTGTTATCTAGTCACTTACCGAATCTTGTCTATTCAACC